CTGCCCCGCCGCCGCCTCCATGCCCCTCTGCCCGGCCGACCCCTAGCTTTCCTTTATTATTTTTGTTATATATATATATGCTATTTGTTTAGATATTTTTAGATGTTCTTATATGCTGTTTTCAGATGTTTTTAGTTGTTCATAAAAGAAATTTAGATGTCAAAAATGTTTTTTTGTTCATATATAGAAAGTTTTTATATATGACTATGGATGTATGAGCAATGATGATCCATGGATTTATGCATTGATATATATATATATATATGAGAAATGATGTTCATAGAATATTTACCAAGTATATATGTATTTTTGTTCATATATGTATTTTTTCATAGCATTTTTCTATTTATATATGTATGTGGCTATAGATGGATATATATGAGAAATGATGATCCATGGATGTATGCATTTTTTCCAATGATGATCCGTAGATGGATGTATGTATGTATAGATGTATGTATGTGGATACAAGAGGGGGGGGGGGGTCGATATACCCCCGCTCCGATAACATTTCCTTCTTCATATGTTGAGTTAGTTGATTTATGTTAGTGCATTTTAGGTTAGTTGATTTATAGTGCATTATAGTTGAAAAAAGAAGAAGAAGGAAAATAAGGAAAAAAATTAAGAAGAGGAAGGAGAAGAAGAAAGGAGAAGAAGAGGAGGGTGGGGGTCGCCGAGGGTTCGAGGGTCTGGAACTAGGGTAGAGGTTTGAGGGTCACCGAGGGTTCGAGGGTCACCGAGGGGTCGAGAGGTTGCCTAGTGTCAAAGTATTGAAGAAATCCATGGCTTCATCATTAGCCGGAAGTAACCGGGGCATGACACTACTAGGGAAAACCCTAGTAGTAGCGCGGGTTTTGAGGCTATCAGCAGCACGGGAAGCCGCGCTACCAATAAGGCGCTACAGCTAACTGTTAGTAGTAGCGCGGTTTGCATCCGCGCTACTACTATTGACTATATCAGCAGCGCTTTTCCAGAACACGCTACTATTACCTAGTTGTAGCGCATTCCTAGCACCGCGCTACTGCTATGTGTTTCATCATTTTCCCCCGCCTCCTAACCAGTTTCCTACCCAGTTTCAGTTTCAATAAACTGCAATTTTCAGATACTAGGTACTACTTGATATCAATTTCATAAAGCATTATAGGTACTAGGTAGTACTAGCTCCGTTCCAAATTACTCGATAACGATCATCATATGCATCCTCAAGCAATACAAAGGTGATATCGATGACGATCATCATATATAGTTCTAGATGATATCGACGACGATCATCATATGTAGTTCTACATGATATCGACGATGATCATCAAATGTAGTTCTAGATGATATATTCACACACACATATGTAGTTCTAGCTAGATGGTATCGACGACGATCATCATCCTCAAGCCTGGGCAGTGGGTGTTCCTGATAGTAATTAGGATGGCCTGTCCAACACGAAGATTCTTGCCAACGAGGATTCTCTTCCACCCAACCGAGTTTTAGTGTGTGCGACCGTTTGTGTCCATGCAGTAAGTACAGGTGGTGACGGAGCCCCTTGCGGTAAGGTGTAGTCCAGCTGAGCCTTCTTCATTAGGCTTGATACCACAACTCACAGATAGGTTCTTTGGCAATTTCTAAATAAGAAAAACATATCAATTAATAAATAGCCTCGCACATACTCTTGCAAATATATTTCTATTAAGTATAGATTCCTACACTATCAAAAGACACAGTACTATGCATTTGTACTAATTAAGCATGAATTCTACTAATAAGTATATATGGATTATCTACACTACTAATAGTTCCTTGGATTCTACACTAGATTCCACAAAGCATATCATTGGACTCTACACTAAGCATATCATCGGATTCACTAAGCATATCATCGGATTCACTAAGCATATCATCGGATAATTTGCATTTGTAAGTATAACAGTAAAGCATATATATATCATCAAATTACTACATTCAGTATGACATACCATTTCATGCCGATCGACCATGGTACTTATCAGGCGGGTCACGAATGGCACCCCGACAAAGTCATCACGTGGCGGAATTATGTCCCATAGGTTGCACACCTCCTCCTTGCTCAACCTCATTCTTTGAGCTACGATGGCTTCATGAAGTGGGTTCTCATCATCTTCATCGAGTGGGTCCTTAGTATCTTCATCATCTTCGTCATCTTCATTATCTTCGTCATCTTCATCATCTTCCACCAGGTTGAGACAAATGACAGCCATCTTGGGTCTTTCTGCTTTGAAGGAGAAGCTGATCAACTCACCACTAGTAAGACGCATGCGGGCAAGGAAACGGGCCCATCCATCTCCTCCAATCTGCGACATATTGCGTCCTTTCTCGTCCTCCAGAGTGTACGGCCCCCCAGGAGCCTCAAATGTCACAGTGTATCCTATCAGCTTGTTGAATTTCAACCTCACATTACATGGGACGATCTGTGTGAAAAAAAGCAAAATGACACAATGCAGTAATGCCAACACTAAAAATAAAATAGTTGTTACATTTCATCTAATTTCTTACCGCCGCATGACGGAAACTCGGCTGGAAGTAGATGCCGAACAGCTTGCCATTTGCAAGGCTGTTGGCGCACCTTGACTTGCATAGTCGACATGGTGGTGGTGGTAGTGGCGCCATTTTTCTAAAGCAATATGAGCAAAGGATTAACGATCCACTTCATAGGAAAGAAAAACAGTAGCATGTGATATTTTTGGTTCTTCTTCAGTTATATTTTCATAGTGGAACCCGATCCCAAAAAGTAAACAACAAGCTCTCAATTAACTTACTAACACCTTCTATAATAGAACCAACAGCTAGCAGGCCAATGCCAAATCAGCCAACAAGACTCACGGACAACAAGTTCTCAATTAGCTTACTAAAACCTTCTAGAATATCTCTAGATGAAGAGATTCTTCCGCGAGAAGCAATTTTAGGGGCACCTATCGCCAAAAAAACTATTTGTCCCCTACCAAAGGTATAATCCTAAGATCTGTAATAAGTTATCTACCAAATCAAGGTACCACCTAGCAAAACACATTTCATCTAATTTGGCGCCTATTGCCTAAGATAACTGATTAAAAAACAAGTGGCAAATTTAATTGGGATTAACTTAGCACTTGCAAACTAAATACTTGTACCACCTACCAAAGCATTTCAACTAAATTGGCGCCTACATTTTGCAAAAAATAACTTATTATAGAAAAACAAAAGCATCTAGTTATGACAAGGAGGGGGTATGGCATGGTGACCTCGGTCGGGGGTGCTGACGAGGGGAAGGTCGGTGACTTTCCTATGAGAGGGGGCGACGACAGCAGCCGGCGAGGGGATCAAGGGCAGTCGGCCAAAGGCGCCCGGCCAGAGCTCGTGGGCAGCGATAGAGTGGGCGGTGAGAGGGTGGAGGAGCACCTAGAAGAGGGGCGGCAAGAGGGGGGAGGAGCATTAGTTTCGGCGGCGGTGGTGGTGGCGCACGGTGGCGGAGGAGAAACCCTAACCGTAGCTGCCGGCGTCGGGCGGAGGGGGACGACTGAGAGAGATGAGCGTGTGGGGGGGGGGGCGCTTGTTTTGTTTTGGTCTAGCAGTAGCGTGGGCACAGGGAGCGCGCTACCGCTAAGCCCAATATCAATAGCCCTTTTTCCTGAAAAAACACTACTGCTAAGGCTAAGCATCTAAAAACATCAAAAATATACATCGGTCATCATTGATCTTTTTGTGTAGAATCTAAATAGTCAACATGAATCCTCACCATACCTGTATAGGCACAGGTGAAGATTCATATTGCAGCCACAAATCCTACACATACAGTTCAATGAAGACCAAGCGCTTGAGATAGTTTGAGAAGTAACATATTTAAGGTGGTAAACACCTTGTTCGCTTAGCAGTATGGGACTAAACTTAATTAGTTGCAAGAAGGGATGATACTTAGCAGCAGCGAGTTTTAAAGAAAAATGCCGCTACTAAGTACTTTAGCAGTAGCGCGTCCAGGACAAGGGCGCTACTACTATATCTAGCCTGAGGGCAACACCGTGGCAATTGTAGTACTAGCATTCATTTCACCTAGAGCGCTACTGCTACTGGGCTATTAGTAGCGCGGTTTTCTGGAGCCCGCTACTGCTAATTAGCAGTAGCGTTTGTTTTTAAACCTTGCTGCTGCTAAGATTCTTTGTATAAGATTTTCCCTAGTAGTGTGATGATACTAAGTTGTGCAAAGTTTTTTTGGAACGGAGTTCCGGATAGAATAATTCGCCTTTTTGTATGAATTTCAGCAAAGGCCTTCCAAATAGCGATATTCGGAAGGCTCTTGTTGAACTTTGTACAAAAAAGCGAATTATCCTATCTGGGACTCTGTTCCAGAACAACTTCGCAGAACTTCGTACCATCATGCGCCTGTTACTTTCACCAAATGATGAAGACATGATTTTATTGAATCCTTTGACACTAGACAAATGTAACATGAGGGGGTCGAGGGTCAGGGGTAATCCAGGGGTCGAGGGTCTAGATTTATCAAGAATGCCCCCATTATGGATGTGCACAAGTTGATCCAAACCCTAGAAGCGTTGCCGAGGCCAGCCAAATTTACCAAGTTAAAAGAGCGTTGTCGTCGAGGCCACCCCGAACCCTAGAAGTGTTGCCGAGGCCACCCCAAACCAAAGAGAAGCGTCGAGGCCACTAATATGATTCCTTATTGTGATTAGGTAGCTAGGTCTACGTTTGCCACTAATATATCCACCTGCTGTCATGTTTGTATAATAATTTTCATGTTGTAATATTTGCAGAAACAATGGAGCACGGACGAGACGAGGCAGCAGAACATGTGTTGGGGGACATAATCTTAGGCGGAGGTGATGTCATGTCGTATCTTAACGACAGTGATGGTCTGGAAGGACAGGGTGAAGAAGCAGGCTACAGTGATCAAACAATGGAGGAGGAAATACATGATTATGATGGCTCCGGTGACCGAATGCCGGTGCAAGAAGGAGACCGTGATGACGGCTCCTGTGACCGAACAGAGTCCGGCCACATATATATATATATATATATATAGCCTGTGCTGACTAGCTAATTGATGCATTCATTGTTTTGGTATGTACACATATTAACTCTCGTCTTTCTTCTTTTTTCTAGCCCTCTCGATCGAGCACAACTTCGGTAAAGAAACGAGGCCCAAAGAAAAAGTTGTGCCCGGATGAAAGGTTCACGATCATAGCAATTGCGCGCGATGGCCAACCGATTGAACCCATCCGGACAAAGGAAGCATTTGCTGCTCAGTGCGGGTTTCTTATTAGGGACAAGATCCCGATCAGCATCCAGCAATGGTTGAAGCCTAAGAAGGAAGACCCTGAGGTCTCTTACGTCAATGATATGCAGAAATATGATCTTTGGACCGCGCTAAAGGCAAATTTCTGTTGGGGAACGCAGTAATTTCAAAAAAAATTCCTACACACACGCAAGATCATGGTGATGCATAGCAACGAGAGGGGAGAGTATCGTCTACATACCCTCGTAGACCGTAAGTGGAAGCATTATGACAACACACACGGTTGATGTAGTCGTACGTCTTCACGATCGACCGATCTAGCACCGAAGGTACGGCATCTCCGCGATCTGCACACGTTCAGCTCGGTGACGTCCCGCGAACTCACGATCCAGTAGAGCTTCGAGGGAGAGTTTCGTCAGCACAACGGCGTGATGACGGTGATGATGATGCTACCGGAACAGGGCTTCGCATAAGCACCGCTACAATATAACCGAGGTGGATTATGGTGGAGGGGGGCACCGCACACGGCTAAAAGATCAATGATCAACTTGTGTGTCCATGGGGTGCCCCCTCTCCCGTATATAAAGGAGTGGAGGAGGGGGGCCGGCTCTCTACTATGGCGCACCCTGGGGAGTTCTACTCCCACCGGGAGTAGGATCCCCCCCTTCCATGTAGTAGGAGTAGGAGAGAAGGAAAGGGAAAAGAGAAGAGAAGGAAGAAGAGGGAGCCACCCCTCCCCCTAGTCCAATTCGGACTAGGCCTTGGGGGCACAGCCTCCCCTCTCTCTTTCCCCTAAAGCCCAATAAGTCCCATATACTCCCCGGCGAATTCCCGTAACTCTCCGGTACTCTCATAAATACCTGAACCACTCAGAACCTTTCCGATGTCCGAATATAGCCTTCCAATATATCGATCTTTACGTCTCGAACATTTCGAGACTCGTCGTCATGTCCCTGATCTCATCCGGGACTCCGAACAACCTTCGGTACATAAAAACACATAAACTCATAATACCGATCGTCACCGAACATTAAGCTTGCGGACCCTACGGGTTTGAGAACTATGTAGACATGACCGAGACTCATCTCCGGTCAATAACCAATAGCGGAACCTGGATGCTCATATTGGCTCCTACATATTCTACGAAGATCTTTATGGGTCTAACCGTAACGGTATACGTTGTTCCCTTTGTCATCGGTATGTTACTTGCCCGAGATTCGATCGTCGGTATCTCAATACCTAGTTCAATCTCGTTACCGACAAGTCTCTTTACTCGTTCCGTAATGCATCATCCCGCAACTAACTCATTAGTCACATTGCTTGCAAGGCTTATAGTGATGTGCATTACAGAGAGGGCCCAGAGATACCTCTCCGATAATCGGAGTGACAAATCCTAATCTCGACCTATGCCAAATCAACAAGTACCATCAGAGACACTTGTAGAGCACCTTTATAATCACCCAGTTACATTGTGACGTTTGGTAGCACACAAAGTGTTCCTCCGGTATTCGGGAGTTGCATAATCTCATAGTCATAGGAACATGTATAAGTCATGAAGAAAGCAGTAGCAACAAACTAAACGATCATCGTGCTAAGCTAACGGAATGGGTCAAGTCAATCACATCATTCTCTAATGATGTGATCCCGTTAATCAAATGACAACTCATGTCTATGGCTAGGAAACTTAACCATCTTTGATTCAATGAGCTAGTCAAGTAGAGGCATACTAGCGACACTCTGTTTGTCTATGTATTCACACATGTACTAAGTTTCCGGTTAATACAATTCTAGCATGAATAATAAACATTTATCATGATATAAGGAAATATAAACAACAACT